GTACATATTTTAATAATTATCCAAGAACCAACACATACCAAAAATTATATCTCAAAAAATTTGGGACGTGAATCCCTCTGACGACGAAAACGGTGATAATAACCAAGGGGTGAGAGACTTTTTCCCCGGCAATAGTGAACCAATAGTTTCCGGGACACGCAGTGATCAGTGAGGCCTCAAATGACGCATACCATTATGAATTTAGGATGTGAATTCAGTTTTATTACAGATTCCAGGGGAACAAACATTTGTGATGTAATTCTCTCTGGTGAGAGAATAGTCAAGGATAAATATACATGGTGACAATAATGCAACATTTTATTTCCTGTCTTTGCGAGTTTTCGCGCCCAGGAGGTTTTATAAACTTATGGCAGTGAAATATGTTTTATTTTTTACCTACCTACCTATTCTTTCGTTGAAAACATGTTTAGGCAGAAAATTGGGAAATTTTTTTATGAGACATACTTAAATGTTTTGTAAATGTAATGTTACAACAAAAATATTGCGCAGTGACACCATTTGTATTACTTGATTATAGATTCCTTGGGAACAAATATTAATGATGTAATTCACGCTAGTGGGAGTATGGGTGAAAAAGGTCAAAAACGTTTTTAAACGTGAATTTCACAATGAACCTTTTGAAACGAATCAATGTTGGCAATCAGCTCCGCTAGGATTGCCCTTATAATCACTTTTGTAGGTTTGTGTGTGTGTATGATTTCCAGTGTTTTCAAGTATTATTTCTTCTGTGATTTATTTGGCTTGGCTGACTTTTCTCAAACTTGGCAGGTAGGTCACAGGTAGTTATTAGGAAATAAAATTTGGTCCACCGTTGCCATAGCAACAGCCAAAAACTGATTCGTGAATACTTTTGCCCCAAATTTATTACCTCCTACCAGTCTTGTAATAGCAGTGTTCAAATGATCATGCTTTTTATTTTGGCTACATTGCGCACTCATAAGAGATCACCAGTGCCGACACTGTTACACTGTATCAAAGTAATCCAAATGCAACTTTGAACTTTAAATGAACTGTAAATGCTGCCTCAATCTAGAAAATACTATCGCAAAACTGTATTACAGAGCAAATTGACCTGAAAGTTGGAGTAACTTTTCACCAGCAATGGCTTTTAACTACTCTGTGATTTTGTTTGGCTTGGCTGATTTTGTCCATACTTGACAGGCAGGTCGTACCGTCACTAATTGAAAAAAAAAACTTAGCCAACTGCTGCCATGGCAACAGCCAAAAAACTGATTTTTGAATACTTTCGCCCCAAATGTATTACCTCCTACCAGTCTTGTAATAGCAGTGTTCAAATGATCATGCTTTTTATTTTGGCTATTTTGCGCACTGGTAAGAGATCACCGTCGCCGAATGAACTGTAAATGCCTTCAATCTAGAAAATATTATCGCAAACGGTTGGAAATAATAAATTTAAAAACAGAATACGTCCTAACATTAAAATAAAGTAACTTCTAAAGACTGAATGTTTTTTGGCAAACTTCGTATAGGGATTTTAGTTATAAACCGATGTTCATGTCCAACAGCCGAAAATATGTTGCTTGCTTTTTGAGCGGAGCGGATCGCCAACCAGCTTATCAGCTTGTCCTGGTTATCTCTGGTGCAACTGCAGTCTTTGGAACAAACTTGATGGACTCTAAAACGCAATTTATGGTGCGCGACTTAAAAACGCAACTTAATGCACATGAATTTCCTAACAAAGGTTTAAATGTTTTAGTTGTCTTAGTGTGGCACTGGTGTGTGGAAAGCTGTCGAATAAAATGGCGACAACCTTCAAACACATTGTTATGCTAATTTGATTTCTGGCATGTTAGTTGACAAAGAAATGAAAGATTTCTTGAATTTTCGGCGAAAGCTACGTGAATTTGAACCAAAATGTTATCTGCAAGACACAGAATACAACTGTGACAGCCACTGAAACGCAATTGAAGGCAAATGAACACGTCAAGCAAAAAGGACTTTTTCGAGTCGTGGCGGAGGCACATACCATTTTGACTCTTGAGGGGAATGGAAATCAGTTGATTTGAGGGTGTCGTTTTTATGCTTTGAAAAAATGCAGACCTTGAACGTACTTTTTGGACTTTAGTACAACGTCATTTTTGTTTGATTACCTAATGTTTTTGGGTTCATGTGCTGCAAGTTACAGAGCACATACTTAAGCGGCCGTCCCTCAGTAAATAATGAAGCAAAGGCTTTTTCGATGTCGAAATCGCGAAACTCACCTTTTTTACACAAACTGGGAAGTTCGAATTACTAAACGAAGTACAGGATGACAAAGATAAAATATCCAAGAATCAACACATACCTAAAATTATATCTCAAAAGTGAATATTCGTGGTGTATTTTAAGTCTAACCGGACTATAAGTGAAAATGTGTTAGTACTCTAAATATCCAAACATATTTTAGTATAAGGTAGTAACTAAACTGATTACAATACACAAATAGGGAAACAAAATCAAATAAAAGACCAAATAATAATAATAAAAAAATTAACATAACAAAATATATATGAGTAAAAATTGTTGTGTTTTCCACCGCTGTTTCACATTATCACGACATCTCTACTTTCAAATTCACACAGTTCTAGGCTATCCAGTTTATAAAGTGTCAACCCATTAGTTGTACAACAACGACGCCAATCTACGGACAGTCAGATACAGTACAAACACAATCGGTACCTTCTAAAAATATGAATAAATAGATCTTACCCGGTGAAGCAAATTCTGTGATAAAGAAAAACACAAACCACCGTAGACACAGGTGAACACAACATTTACCCATATCCGCCATTTGTTAATATGGTGACCTTTGACTGACCCAACTATTTCGTCCGCAGAGGGCGCACATCGCATCGGTTTGTGTTACGAAGTGACTCATGAGGAAACAAGATTAGGTACTGTGTGGACTTGTACGTTGTACATGACGTCACTTGGACTAATTATTCATATTTATCGTAATATCTTGGCCTTGGCCAACAACAACTGAGTTATACATGAAATAAGGCCAAGGTTGAAAATAAACGTTTCAGTCTAGTATTTTCTGTACATCATGTTCTGTACATTTTTCAATTTTTTCACTCACTCACACTTAAGTTTGATTTATTTTTATCGACATATTTACACTATTACTCATTTTAGCGCGTAACATAATGTATAGTACAGTTAGCTACTGTAACACACTTAATGCAATACTCTCAGTGCAACAAAACCATTTTTTGTATCTTTGTAAATAATTATAAATATTAATGTAAGTTGAACAAATGTTATTATCGTCCAATAGACACTATTTTCCGTTTGCCGTAGCTAGCTGGATAATTTGTGTGGATGTGATAATAGTAATACATCTGTGTTTTAGTGGACGTCATAAGTAAAGTCTCGGATGTAGTTCAATCCCAATGTGCAAGATCGTCCACTGACTAATTTAATACTAATTTAATTAATTTAATAATAATACATCTGTGTTTTAGTGGACGTCATTAGTAATGTCCCGGATGTAGTTCATTCCCAATTTGCAAGATCGTCCACTGACTAATTTAATATTCCATAACATTTTGAGATTTTAGATGAATAATTACTGCGGCAGCATTTAAACGCGCCTCCTAAATTAAGCTGGATTTGTAAACAATGTAAACTCACTAAGTTAGGGGGCATTGCTTGTCAAATTGTAGACATGTTTGTCTAAGGGATGGGACCTAAAAATTAGAGCAGAATATCTACTTTTAATATATCATAAATTGATTGGCAAAAACAGCATCATTTTAAAATTTCTAAAATTGTTTTATATATTTTCAAAGTGGGAATGCAATTCTTCGTATTTCCTCTCTTGTTAACCTGCGCATGCGCGGGAATTGAGTCACAAGCAACGATAACAACGCATACTAAAAACGCAAAGGCTCATAAAACAATGCACATTATTTACGAGAATCCACTAAACCGCGAAGAAAGTTCAAGAACTTCACCGCGCATGTGCAACCTCGCCCGGTTTTAGCGCACGAAAAATGTTTCGCTTGATACCGGGCTTCAAAAGAGCAATTACAAGTTTGTAATTTTGCACGAATTACAACATTTAATATAGAAATGCTTTATACACTTACACAAAATAAGATTTTTGTACGAATTACAACATTTAATATAGAAATGTTTTATACATTTACAAAAAATAAGATCTTTGTACGAATTACGGAAGAATAAAAAAGCTGATTAGGATTTACACCATTTCCCAATTCTGCGAAATTACATTTTTGTATTTAATTAAATTACATGTACTTTATTACGAAAATAAAAACAATTGAGTACAGCTTACGAAAATACCCCTTGCCGACCCTCAAAATAGGTATTCATCATTAATAAAAAATAAAAAAACTACTCACTTGTGCCAGGCGATTAGATCCGTGGTACACCGTGGCCATTCCAGGATGTAAACTCGTTCTTACAAATAAATAAATACAACATTAGTATGTTAGGCCCATTTTATAGTATATTTCAATCGTGTGCATGCGACGCAAAACTTAATATATTGCCAAATATTTTGATTTTTAAGTATTTCCATGAGATAGCAAATTTAGTATTTTTTGGCAAATTTGTAATTCATTATCAGTATCAGTGTGTTTAAATTTCCGTCGATTAACATTATGGCATTTTACGTCTGTCAAATATCGGCCAAATAAATACGTGGAATCATTAATTACTAAGGACCTGGCGTAGAATTGGAAATTACTCCAAATAAACAAATGTCCAATTCGGGAACAGGATAATAGTATATTTGGTTATTGACGAAATAGTAGGGCGCCACCAGACGGTGAGGCTTAGCAAGTGCGTCGTGTTTCTATCATGAAGTTGACGCTGATTGTACACAAAGAAAGCCGCTCATCCCGCCATTGGATGGCGGCACATCGTGTATGTGGTGTTTACAAAGGACGTGCAGATGATCCGTGGTTCATCTTGACCAATAAATAAAAGACACGCCCACAGTTGGACAACCAATCATTTTATTCTGTACTAAATGTGCAACACCAAAGTCCCGCCATTTATTTCTCATGGTTGTTCAACCATAGTCGTCTGCACTAGTATCGCGAGTTCTAAGTTTGATTTACTAAGTGTTTACTATGTTGGTAAAACCGCGCAAATTCATTTTACCGCCACTTTACAGCGGTTTTCACACAGACACCAGTTAATTCCGTTACCCAATGGCTGAAGCAATTTCACATCGACCAGACACGCCCCAAAACAGATGACGAGATTTGACAGGATCGGCCAATGCGCATGCGTATAAAACAGCTGGTACTAATATCCTAATATCCTAATTTCCTAATAACTTATTTTGCACTCGTACAAATGCAAAATACATATTGATTAGATTGGTTGGCCATCAAGTACCATCCTATGGCACCCAATTCATATATCACCAATACCATAGTACAGAGTTATGTTAACAACGAGACACAAATTAGACTAATATACTAAATTTGTATTTAATTAATTGTAAGGATGAGATTACATTGTGAAATGGCTACGATGTACCACGGATCCGAGTATCATGGTGATTTCTTTACACGCTCCTACTTGACGAATTAAACATTAAGCTTGTACCACATTTGCTCTATTAAAAGTACATCTACAACATAAGCTCATTTATTGTAACTGGATCATTGAGATAAGACTTATGTATAGACACACCTACGTCATTCACACAAGCACATGTGTTTCTTTCTCCAGAAGTCGATACGAGTGAATCAGAATTCTTCTTCGTGCTACACAACAGGCTAGGTTGTTTAGCGTTAAATTTAATGAACGGAAAATTTTCTGATTACTTCAATTTGACTCGAAACGTCCGAGCCAGTATCGTTTTGCAAACGAGGGTTAGAAGCTTTGAAATTATTTCATAACTCATATTCAGTAGTGATATAAGACGTCAATTAGCAATGACACGTATTCTGTTTTCGGAATCAGTGTAATGACACCGGTACGAAAACATCAGGGACTTTGCCAGAAATGAAAATAAAAATATAGAAAACCAAAAATGTTTCCACCACCGAAAAACAACAACAACAACAATAATAATAATAATAATGATAATAATAATAATAATAATAATAATAAACACATGTATTTTATCGACTGATATGGAACATACGTGACATTATCGATGATCATGTGCCAGTATTATCAAAATATACAATGTGTGTACAATATACTACTGTCACGTGTTAAGTTACTATATATCAATTATTTCAATCGAATGAAAAATAAAGTTTATTTCGATAATAACGCTTTCTCCTGGCGGGAAGTCTCTGTCCACACTCCCCCACAGTCTATACTATTTATCTGGTTCACATTTAGTATAAACGATATAATTAATGGTATGTCCACTTATTAATCGGGGTACATTGCCAAACCATCATATCTGTACCGTATGTGGTCTTTGTGAATGAAGGCATTAAATGATTCTCTTTTTGGACAGTCACACACTACTGCAATATATTTACGTTAATCGCATCAGAGCTTGCCGAGATAAGCATACACACGGTTCAAGAACGAAACTTTTTTCTACATTTTAACGATACATTCCCACCAATATATAAAATTCAAACACCTACATGTGCATTTGAGGTGCAAGGCCTATAATACAGGAATAAAGTCATACATTACATTACCATACATACATTTCACTCCAACTAAGGCACACAAGTTAGCCTGGGTGTATGTTTGGCTCAGTAGGTTTGCAGATTACTTGTACTGGTTGTAGTCGGCGTATCGGACACATACGTGGACAGAGATACAGACAGACACACCGGAGCTAAACATGCGTAGACTGGTTGTAGTCGGCGTATCGGACACATACGCGGACAGAGATACAGACAGACACACCGGAGCTAAACATGCGTAGACTGGTTGTAGTCGGCGTATCGGACACATACGTGGACAGAGATACAGACAGACACACCGGAGCTAAACATGCGTAGACTGGTTGTAGTCGGCGTATCGGACACATACGTGGACAGAGATACAGACAGACACACCGGAGCTAAACATGCGTAGACTGGTTGTAGTCGGCGTATCGGACACATACGCGGACAGAGA